ACCACGCCCAGCTAATTTTTTTTTGTATTTTTAGTAGAGACGGGGTTTCACCACGTTGACCAGGATGGTCTCGATCTCTTGACCTCGTGATCCACCCGCCTCGGCCTCCCAAAGTGCTGGGATTACAGGCTTGAGCCACCGCGCCCGGCCCAATAAATTGTATTTCTATATGCTAACAATAAACAATGCAAAATAAAAGTATTTGTAATAATATACATAAAAAGCATGGATAAATGTAATGAAAACGTAAACAATATATAGCATTGATGAGATAAATAAAATATGATATAAATAAATGGAGAGACAGTTTATAGATGAGAAGACTCAATATTGTTAAAATAGCAATTCACAAATTGATCCATATTCAATCCAATTTCAGTCAAACCCCAGCAGTTTATTTTATAGAGGCTGGCAATCTAATATTCATATGGAAATTCAAAGAACTTAGAATAGCTCAGATAACTTTGAAAAGGAACATAGTTGAATGACTTACATAAGCTGACTTCAATACATACTATAAAAGCTGCATTAATCAAGAAAGTATGACATTGGCATCAAGAGAGACAAATAGATAAATAGAACAGATTGAAGAATCCAGAAGCTGATTTTCAACAAAAATATAAAGGCAATTCTGTGGAAATAGAGTAGTCTTTTATAAAAATGATGTTGGATCAATTGTATATTCACATGCAAAAAAAAGAACTTTCATCCATACCTTACATTATGTAGAAAAAACTTAGAACTATTAAAATTCTTAGGAGATAACAGTTATCTTGAGTTAGGCAAAGGTTTCTTATATAAAACCACTAAAACACAAATATATATGAGGAAAAAATGAATAAATTCCATGTCATCAAAATTAAGTATGTTTGTTGATCAAAAGATACTGCTAAGAGAATGAAAAGGGAAGCCACAGACCAGACGGAAATATTTGCAAGTCACATATTTAGTAAATTATTTGCATGTTGAATATATGAAGAATTTTCAAAATAAGAAACAAACAAAAAATGTATTAAATTATGGGCAAAATTTTGAACTGACTCTTTAAAAACAATATGGATGCCAAATAAGCACATACAAATATGCTGAAATAATTAACCATTAGGAAAATGGAAACTAAATTTGGTATGAGATATCTCTATACACCTAGTAGAATGTTTACAATTTAAAAAATAACTGATCTCATCAAGTGTTGTGAAAGATGTGAAGCCATGTGTTTCATTCATAGATATTTATACAAGATAAGTGAAAACATGTCCACAGAAAAGGTGGTTCATAGCAACATTATAGGTAATCCACAATACCTGGAAATAACCCAAATTTCAATCATAGATGAATGTGCAAACTAATTTTAGCATAACAAATTACTGCTCAGAAAGAAAATGGAATGAACTAATGATACACAAAATGGCGTATAATGAGATTCAGGAAACACTACCTCAAATATGACACCTTGGCATATAGAAGAAAAGAGTAGAAACAGACAT